TTTGATTTTGACACAGCCATTTTGTTCTGCATTATATACTTGAAGATGTCTGTTATAAATGAATGAAAACATTAGTAAATATTTTTAAATTTCAACTGTGCTGGTATTGATATGTTCTATATGTGTATTTATTTGTATAAATTTATATGTATTTATTTATTTATTTATTTTATATTTAATTTATTCATTGGTTATTTTGTAAATGGTGTAAATTTAAAATGTTCTACTTTTGTAATATTTTAACTTTAAATTTGATTCAAATTTTTTAATAAATTATGTTCTACTGAAAACTGTTAAGCAGTTTGGTAGTTCAAATGTATGTAGCCTAAAGATGGTCTTTAAGCAAGATTGAAAACATTTGTGATTAAAAAGTTTCCTGTGAAATTTTATAGTTTATTGTGCTAGTGAATCTATTCTAAGGAATAAGACAAACTAAATACAATACTTTATTTTATATATAATTTTATATACAATTATATAAAATATTGTATCATTTCTTTATTGTACAAAATAACACACAAAAAAAATACTATATATAATGCATCAAACTATAAAATACAATAAACTCCCAATTATCCGTGTGTGGATTATCTGGTTTGCGGATTATCCGTGCATGAATTTAATTTTTAAAAAATAATTATATGTGTACGTATTTTTTAAATAGTTGCTTGCTTTCATGTTTACGCATCCTACAAGTGTGTTCGTATTTAGATGTTTGAAGCGGGTGGTGGGGGTATCTGAAATCAGCTGGACTGGTTTTAGTTAGGCCTCTTCTTTCATGCCGGACATTTCTTTTCGAAGGAGAAAACAATAGTGAGTACATTTATACAAAGTTTTGTTTAGTTGCATGTTATAATATGTATTACAATTTAAGATTTGATATAACTCTCCCACAAATACTTTTAGTGTAAAATTATGTAAAATAAGATGTTTTTTTTAATTTTCAGATAAGTACCCTTAAAATGCCTAATAATCGAAAGAAAATCATACTTACTATAAAACAAAAACTAACATTAATTGAAAAATTTGAAAAAGGTGAATCTACATAAATCTACATGTTGTATTTTAGAACTATAATTAGTTCGAATTATCCGTGCCACCTCTCCCCACCATTAGCCCGGATAATCGGGAGTTTACTGTAATTAAATGTATTCATTTTTATTTTTCTAAATATTAATAATTTAATTCAAAATATAAGTTTAATGCTAGAAAAATCTATTAATAATACAGGTAGTTAAACAAGTAAAATATTGCAACATTCAAAGCAAATCAACTCTTTATTTCAGTTATAAATAAAGTGTTAATACTGAAAAAATTAAATTATAATTAAAATGGTCAGAATAGAAAAAATATCAACTACAATGATAGATAGAAATCACTGATTTGTTTTGGAAAATCAATATATAAGAATGAAAAATTACCTAAAACACTGCCAGATGAGTCAATGCAACCTAAAAGTTTCAACAGATTTGGAATAATTCCAATCTTGTTTCCCTATACACTGATATCTGACAGTTGTCAGTTTTCCAACTTTGACAGTTTGACTTTATAATCTAGATCAGGTAACAAACATTTTCCTGTATTTTCAATTTTTTGAATGTTTTTATAAAGATGTATATAACATTTACCAAAATTCTGGTTTCTAAATGTGTGTCTCATCAATTTTTAAATATTTCTTAAATTCTTTTATAGGAATGTGTTTTTTTTTATGTTGTTTAATGTTATATTATTTTTATCAGAAGAATTTATAGTTTCTCTGTATAATCTTTCTTACATCTCCAAAATTCTTAATAAGATGAGATTTACTACATTACATGATTTAAAAGCAGCTGCTCAGTATAATATTGCTTTTCTGATGACCAGAATAGTTTGTACTTATATGAATCATGCATTTTGCTAAGAATACATGTATGTTTATTTTCCGACTTTCTATACATTTTATTATTATTTCTCCATTTATTGATATTATTTTCATTAAAAAAAAATGTATTGGTTAAAGCTCTGTTGATTCAATTCTATTTTTAAATGGAATTTATCATTATTAATAAAACTGAAAGCTTGAACACTTCATTTCCCTTCTATATAAAATATCTACATATTTTCTATATATAGAAATAATAATTTTCTCTGATAACTTTTCTTCAAATTTATATTTATGTTTAGATTTTTTATGGACTTTAGAATAAATTGAAATAAAAAGTTCTTAAAAATATGACATAAAAGCAATAGTTTATTTGGAAATAAAAATTAAATGTCTAAAGAAATTCTCATATCATTTAAAAAAAATAGTGTACTTGATTTAGAAATTGAGTAGATTAACAGAATTTTTAAAATTTTGTTTGCAGTCCTAAATGTAAGTTAAAACATCAAGGAATAAAAAGAACAATTTGTAAATAAACAAATAAATAAATCTATTTATATACTTTTCAAATATATAACATATGTACTATACATGTAACATTTTTCAATTGCAAACTAGAAAAATGAATATAGGAACTGTTCCACTTTCAGCACCGGGGTGAAATCAACGTTACACTATCTGGAACCTGTAACTGGTGCTCTACGCGTATATATTGTATATCACTTGACAAACATTTTCGAGCGATCTGTTCGCTCTTCTTCAGGTCGACTGAAAATTTCCCAGACAGTGTGTATATTATTTGTTGGGATCGGGTGTCGGTTCCAACTGGGTGGGTTGCTTCTGGCATGCGCGGTTGTGTGGTGGGGGAGGAAACGGCAGGTTGGCGTCTAACAGCGATTGCCAGGCCAGAGACAGGGTTAGCTCTTCCTTCCGGTTAACACAGGTGGTTAGCTGGCCGGCGTTGTAGATAGCCGCTGCCTCCAACCACCTGAGATGCTGTTGGTGTGGCGTGTTGATGATGATAGTAGCCTTCTCGAGTTGCGCTTCGATTTCGGGATCCGACGCATATGTGGCCAGGGCTGTGGTTAGCCTCCCGTGTCGGATATCCGTTTGGTGTTCACGCAGGCAGATGTACAAGGAGCGTTTGGTCGAGCCAATGTATAGTAGGTTCGCGTTTTGTCCGTTGTCCCGGAGTGGGATAGAGTAGATTCTGGGGAGTCTGGTATGATTGGGAGGGTCTTTATCGTTCCGTACAATACGGAAAATTGTGGGGCATCTTCTGTATGCCAATTGTATCCCGTGCTCTCTGGCTATCTTCTTATGCACAGTCTTGAGGTGCGGGTTGAATGTGATGGGGACCCGTGTTGGGCTATCTTGCTGCGGGTCGGCGGCATTTGTTGCGGTTAGGGAGTGTTTCTGGCGTTGGTATCGTTCAACCAAGCGGCGTGTCATGTTCGGAAACCTGTGCTCAGTTGCTATCCTTTTGATGTGGGCTAATTCGTTTGTTAGGGCTTGCTTGGTGGATGAGTGTGAAAAATGCTCTCTCCACCAGAGCCCTAAAGGCGGCTGCCTTGTACGGGAACGGGTCACAAGAATCAGCTGGTATGTACGTGGGGGTGGATGAGGGCTTGTGATATACGGCTGTGTGGATGGTGGGTCCTACTATTTTTATTCCAATGTCGAGGAAATGGACTTCCTCTGTACTAGCTTGCTCCAGTTCAATGGTTAGGCCGAAAGGGTTGTCGTTGACGGTTCTGACGAAGATGGTTCCACAGGTTCCAGATAGTGTAACGTTGATTTCACCCCGGTGCTGAAAGTGGAACAGTTCCTATATTTTAAGGATTTAGCTATGCCGGCTAATTTATATCATAAGAAACTGATAGCCCTGGTTAAAACTAGAGCCAAACTACAGTTTCTCACGGAATGTAAGAAGAACAGACTTTTACTGATGACAATTTTCCGAATACGCCTCCCACCAGGCAACAAACCTCTCCTTAAAAAAGTTAGAATCATGTGCCTTAATAGAGCCATCTGATCGTCCAGAAAGCAAATATTCGCAAAGTTGAAAGAGTTAATAGAGACCGAAAACTCCTTATTCCACACACACCCAGACATATTGGCCAGAGAGAACGCTAAGTTGGTCCCGGTCTGCGAACGCCTATCTGCCGACCTACGAGAACACTACTGCAAGAAGCTGAATTGGGTGCTAAAATTTCAGGTACCTAAAACTAACCAACGTCCCCCATTCCCGTTTATCCTTTGGGATGACATCCAACCACCTAACTTCGTTATAGATGTACTTAGATATGGCCCAACCTTTGCACCCCCGCCGCCCAAAAATGGAACCAGAGACCTCATCCCAGACATGGAATACCTTTTAAAAAGCCTCCCAGACATGCAGAAGGAATATTACAGATGGATGTCCTCGATAAATATCAGGAAAGCTAAGGAGCAGCAAGAAATTATAGAGCTCAGGGACAAGCTGAGACATACTGCTAGATGGATGCGAAGGAACGGAGTAATTCTCATCAGAGCAGATAAGTCCAGAACACTAGTCCTCATGAAATGCAGCTCATACCAGCAGGGTTTGAGGGAATACATTGATAATACAATGTGAGAGAAAGAAAAGGACAACAATGTAATCGACAAACTACAAGCTAAGGTTAGACGCCTCGCTGACTCTAAATTAGTCAAGCACCTGGCACTACACGACATAATAGTCGATTCACCAGATGTACCTAGACTTTTTGCCTACGCTAAAACACACAAGATGGGCCAACAGTTACGCCTGATCGTAGACAAGGTAAGGGCACCCACACGAAAGCTTGAGAAAGCCATACACAACCTTCTAACTCCCCATCTGGAAAACTACCCCTGCAACGTAAATAAACTGACCAACCTCATCCGCCTCCTACAGGATCTACCCTCCCCACCACGATTTATGACAGTCCTGGACTTCAAATCTATGTACCCCTCAATAGAGTACCTCCAGCCTTCTGCTCCCACAGAGATTTTTTTGTTTAATACAGTTCAAGACCAAGCACTACACCAACAGGTACTCGAGGTGGCCCATCTGGCGTGTTACAACTCTGTTTTTAGATTCGGTGACACTATCTACTGACAGAAAAAAGGTGTACCGATGGGTAGCCCACTCTCGGGCGACTTCTGTGAAATCGTCGTCAGACAGCTCGAAAGTAAGGCCCTCCCACCTTTCCTTCCTAGCATCCTGATTTATAAAAGATACGTGGACGGCATTCTTATCATATGGAGAGAGGTCCCCAACATGACATCTTTCATCAGAACCATCAACGACAACCTTTTCAGCCTAACAGTTGAACTGGAGCAAGCTAGTACAGAGGAAGTCCATTTCCTCGACATTGGAATAAAAATAGTAGGACCCACCATCCACACAGCCGTATATCACAAGCCCTCATCCACCCCTACGTACATAACAGCTGATTCTTGTGACCCGTTCCCGTACAAGGCAGCAGCCTTTAGGGCTCTGGTGGAGAGAGCATTTTCACACTCATCCACCAAGCAAGCCCTAACAAACGAATTAGCCCGCATCAAAAGGATAGCAACTGAGCACGGGTTTCCGAACATGACACGCCGCTTGGTTGAACGATACCAACGCCAGAAACACTCCCTAACCGCAACAAATGCCGCCGACCCGCAGCAAGATAGCCCAACACGGGTCCCCATCACATTCAACCCGCACCTCAAGACTGTGCATAAGAAGATAGCCAGAGAGCACGGGATACAATTGGCATACAGAAGATGCCCCACAATTTTCCGTATTGTACGGAACGATAAAGACCCTCCCAATCATACCAGACTCCCCAGAATCTACTCTATCCCACTCCGGGACAACGGACAAACCTACTA